CCATTTATATAAGAACATATTGAGGCTAACTTGGAAAAATCTATGTTCTTATACGCGGGTTTTTACTGTAGTCAATTTAAGAACTTCCGACCACTCAAAGTAAGACTAGCTGTGTAAAATGGATCTTTACAATTTGCACGGTGACTTTTTCACGAATAGTCATGTTTTTCATGTTTTATCTTTGTTCGGGGGCTCGAACTAAACAAAACTAATGACCAAGCTGGTTAGATAAGTACTTGATAAGTAATAGCTCTGACTTCGAATTAGCATTGGTGCAGCTTCAATGAATCAGAATACCATTTGCATTCCTAAAAGAAAACCTACTCTTAAAAGAAACCCCACGGGGAACACCGAGTACTGTTAGTCGAAAGATATGAGTTGAGAATCGAGGAGCTGTTGCTGCTGCTGCTGCTGTTGCTGTTGCTGCTGTTGCTGCTGGGGTGGTGGGTGCATTGCTTGGTTCCCAGATGTAGGCCCTTGTCCGTACATCCCCTGCGGTAGTGGTGCTCCAGACTGGCCCTGCTGCACTGCTGACGCAGGGGGGTACATCCCTATTTGGCCTCCTTGCGGTGGGGCCATCACTCCGGGATGCGGTGCAAACTGTGTCGTGGGAGGGATTCCTTGTTGTGGATGCATGCCTGGCATAGACGTCACCATACCTACGGGCAAGAAAAATATACTGTCATTAGGCACATGAAAGAAGTTTGCACATAACATTCTCTTCCTAGAGAAAATATATTATCAATAGGCACAAGAAAGAAGATTGCACATAACATTCTCGTCCTAGAGAAAATATATTATCAATAGGCACATGATAGAAGGTTGCACATAACATTCTCTTTCTAGAGAAAATATATTATCAGTAGGCACATGATAGAAGGTTGCATGTGACATCCTTTCCACCAGCGAAAAAACAACTGATATTCGAGACAATTTTATCGGAAGCGCTTATATAGCAAGTTATTCGGGGCATCTTGTTCTAAAAGAGGGACGTGCAAATGTCTGTGATCATTCTACATTACGTGTCACTCAGTAAAAATGACAGTGAATTCTACTTTATTGTTCAGTAGTATATAGTTATTGTTTGTATTTACTTATAATTCACTTCACAAACCTTGCATAATGTAGGGCGAGTACTCCACGCCAGTAGTGGCCGGTGGCTGCCCCTGAGGCATAGAACCAGGCGGTGGTCCCTGGCCACCCGTGTGTGTCGGTGGTGGTACTCCCTGAACTGGCATGGGGTAGCCTTGTCCCGGGGGCGGTTGGTAGCCAGACGTGGGTGGGCCCGCAGGCGGCTGAAAGCCCCCCTGCGGCATGTAGCCCATCTGTGGCGCGTAACCTGCTAACAACGTCGGTTGGATCGACCGTCAGTCATCACCGTTGCACGAGAGTAATCACTAGGACCGACAGGTTTATGTTATATTCTGATATAGTTATAGTGTGATAGGTTTATGTTATACAGTTCTAGTGCGATACATAGCCATACATAGACATACGTAGACATTACATAGCCATACATAGACATTACATAGACATACATAGACATACATAGACATTACATAGACATACATAGACATACATAGACATACATAGACATACATAGACATTACATAGCCATACATAGACATTACATAGACATACATAGCCATACATAGA